ACTGGTCATCTTCACTTTCTACAAATAACATGTTCACCTTGACGTCATTGCCGAATGCGAGTCAGTGGGCTTCGTCTCGTCTCACCACAAGCGGTACCTCATTGGCGGTTGCCAGATCTGCAGGCTCGTTTCACCGACAGTGGCTCGGTCAATTGGCCGTGGTTGTGGCTGTCACTGCGATGCTATTCACAACCTTCATGCCACCCGTCAAGGCCAATCTCGCCTCAACACGTACCATTTCACCGAATGGCCAGATTGACTTGGAGGAGGCGTCTTTGGCTTGCCAGCAGGTTCTACTGCGTCTCCTCGAACAGGTGGGAGTTGTCGCGCCCTCCGTCGGCCATACAGACCTGCTCGAACGTCTGGTAGACACACGCAAGCCTTCTTTCTCTAGATCCCCTATGCCATCGGCTTTCCAGCGCTTAGGCTCCCGAACAGTCTTCCGTCTGCCCTGGCTCCGTCTAATAGACACCAAGCTTTGTTTAGTTCAGCCAATTTGCAGCTTTAGGCGCCCAAATGTTCTTCATCGCTAAGAATTCCACTCACCCAAGGTCGCATAAGAAGAGGAAAGGACTGATAGTTGACCTTTGTCACAATGAGCCGAGTATACCTCACTTTTTTACATTAAATTTCACTTCATTTATCCCGGATAAACTGGAGAGTGGTCTCGAACTCGTCAGAGTTTTAATCAGCACCCACAGCGGTAATCGAATCCGAATATTATTATTATCAGTAGCAGTAGTAGTAACAATAATAATTGCTACCAGTCTTTCACCACCTTAAGTTAAATAAGATGAATTCATCTCACACATATATGATGTATTGATATCCTTAAAAAAACTACTTATAAGAGGGCAAATAAGTAGTATTAGTTGTTGTTGTAATTAAGATTAAAAGTCAAACCTTAGTTGCAACATCTTGAAAAGTCGGGAGAAGAAAGGGTCGTAATTAGAAGTTTAGAGGTGGCTTTCTTAATCCTGATCTAAATTTAGCTGATTTTATTTTTATAAGGATTTCCCCGTATTGGCATTACGTTCGGATCCATTCCGTAATAAATTAATGTAATTGTTCCAGTCACCCTCTTTCACATAATCAGATGATTAAGCCTCACGATATACTTACTTTTCACTTAGCCTTGTTTCCTAAAGCGTATTCTGATCGCGACTGAACTCTTCTTATCAGCACCCACAGCAGTGATCAAAACCGGATGTGGTTAGTGCAGCATATAATCTCGACAAGCTACCATCATTCCGAACCTCCACGAGTGCGCCTGGACCACCGAGCAGACGTACTGTATGTGGCAAGCTATATCACATTTTATAGTGGCATTTAAGAAGAGACAGACTTGCATTTTTTTATTACGATAGACTATTCTACTTTAATCGAAACAATGTAGGACTTTTGAGGGACTCGGTAAATTTTAAATAATAGTTGAAGTATCAAAGAACTGAAAACGCCTAGGTTACACTTTGCACCACTCAGATTCGATTTCCGCTGAGGGTGCTGATGAGATTCCAACGAGGTCGAAACTGCAGTCCAGTTTGCCAGAAATGAGAATATCTTATTGGGAAGCAACGTCTAATCAATTTGATTGGAAATATGAGGGAATATTCACTCTTAGTACTTTGTCATATTATGCGACTCAGGGTTAATGGAATCCTTATTCACGTTTTCCTGATAGTTTCCACACCCTCTTTATATGAATGAATATTCTCCAAGCTTTTCTTCTCTTTTCGTTAATAAACTAGCCAGGCTAGCTGGACAAATTTGTCCGCGAGAGAGCAAAGTAGTTTGTGTTGGTTGTCTACAATAGTTGAGGTTGTTGTTTAGGCCACTCATGTGCGTTGGTTCA